GTCATTAAAAGCAGGTTACAGAAGCATCAACTGTATTGCCATAATTTGATAAAGATTGCGGTGCTGATGGTAAATGTCGATGGGAAGCTACACAATGAAGTATTAACATAGTGATGCACACACAAACCCAGATCCCTACCCACGCTGAGACACCTTCAATCCTACTGTCTTTCTAAATTGCACACCTTTGTCTGAACATTACAGCCGGATCCATGTTTGCTGAGGTCATTCTGACAACTTGGCGAATTTCTTTGGCAATCATTCTGAGTTTCTCAAAATTTACCAGGCCATCCACTTTGGAATCATTTCCTGTAATATTGAAACACATAGATATAAAAAAAAGAGAGTCAGAAATATGTTTTTAATGGTTCCTAAGTACCCCACATTACCTTTCCTCCCTTTCTGCCTCTCCATCAACAAAACTGCTTTACTCAAAATAGCAAGAAAACAGGAAACTCTTGGCAAAACACAAATGACAATCGGACCCACTCAGACTACCTAGCATTCCTCTTGTTAATCTATTTCTAAAGTTACGAGTATTAGTAGGAGGAAAAAGGAGTAAGTGAACTAGGCCTAAATTCATTGGCATAGATGTTAAAATAATATAAACATAGAACATCATAAATATTGGACATCAAGAGCCTTCACATTCTGAAACTAGTTCAAATAGTTCTGAAACATCGCAACCAAGAATCGGGCACATTTGGAAATGCTTACCACCTTAACCAATTGTGTAAAAGGAAAAAAATGGAACGGTTGAAACAAAACCCCTTGAAAATGCTGAAAGCAAGAGTAGGAGGTGTTGTATCATCGTAGCTGTCTGAAAGCCACAACATGGAATGAAAACCTAGAAACACTGCAGCAACAAGTTTTTGTAAGAGCGATATATTTGAAGTGGTGTCACTACCAGTTAGCACACTCACCTACTCTTCCACCCTAAACCTTAGGACAGCTGATGAAGATTAAGCATTGCTTTTAAAATATTAAAAATAGGCATTTAATTTTTAATTTTTGTCTAGGATCAGTCTCTTCCATTATGCATTCAGAGTTCTATTTTATTTTACTCCTGCTAAGGACACATCAAAAGCATGTCACTGGTGGCACCTTCTTTTAGACGTGTATTGAATCACAGAGTGCTGAAGAAAGGGCTAAAGCATATTCAATGCCTAGTTTATTATTTCTCTACGTTTGACATTACCTTCATGCAGAAATGTGATATCCTTCTTGACAACAGGAAAAAGTGGAATAATTGGAGGCTGCATGCTCTGGCTGCTAAGGATGTTGCGGTATTTTGCCATGTTTCGAGATGGATCAAAAAGATCTTGAAGGTCTCTGAGGTGCTTTTCATACTTGCTCGGTAACTTTTCCCAAGTGCCTCTGAGACGCGCTACTGGTGCTAGGTTTAACCCACTGTAAGGCAGACACATCACAGTATTAGCTGTTAGCAGAATCATTACTTTTCATAAGAAAGTAAAGGGTTGGGTTTTTGTTTTAAGGATTAAAAATAGCTTTTACAAGGTTAACTGTAAAGCTGGGCGAATGCCAGGCTGCAAGTCCATCGCAATAAACCTCTGCTGTTCACTCTTGTGAGCACGTGAAAAAGAGAACAGTAAAATCATGACTGCTTCCTATTCACAAGGTACAAATTTCAAGTTAGCCTGCCAAACAATCTCTCTGTAACACAGTACCGATGCCCATTTAATTTAAGAACCGCTACTCTCCTGTAAAAATGTATACCGCAGTAAGGACAAAAAGGGTGAAACATTAACGAGGTGCATACAGCCTACAGTAGCAAGTGAGAACAGCGCACGGCTTATCCCAAGCAAGAGTGGCAAGGCTTAAGAGGAGAATGTTTGGAGCATTTGTAAACGAGCACCAACAGACCGAGAATTAGAAGCAGCACATATGCTACAAGTTGTTATTTTGACCTCTTTCTCATTAAGTAAAAATATAGCCAGAATTATCTGGATATGCAATTAAAAAAAAAAATATCCAGAATTATCTGGATGCAATTTAAAAAAATTAAAAAGTAGAATATATCCACTCTCCCTATTATAATGCATCACCAACTTTGCTCAACAAATTTTGCAACGACTGCAAAGTCCTTGTAGCTGCAGAACTGGTAAGTTATATCCAGAATCTTAAAATTACAGAATTTGCTATTCCAGGAAGATTTTTTTCTCATTCTGAAAGCTTCAAAAACTTATTTTGTATTTGGTTTTTTTAATACAGATTTCTCTCCATGCTGTTTTCAAACCACAAAGCCTTCTCTCATGTGAAAAATCAAACATATGCCACCACACAGCTCCTCTTTTACATGCTACATTAGGATAGTTATCTTCCTAGTTCATGAAACATATGGCATCATATCGATATGCAAGGCAAGGCAAGAAAGAGAACCCCTATGGCATAGGCTAACAAAAACATATTTGTCTGGAAATAAGGGTAAAACAAAAGCTAATTTATTTGCCTTTTTTTTTTTTTTTGACCAAAGACCACTTCAGTCATGCCCTGATTAGACTGAACTGAGAAGTAGAGAGTCATTTCTCCACCTCCAAGAAACCATGAGAAATCAGGAAGCAGAATACAGGACTTAGATTCAGTATTACACGTGTATTCACCACGCAATGAGTAGCAACAGCCCCAATAGGTTGCCCAGTATCCTTTAAGGAAATTCATGAACTCTTTAATGTATGACTAAACAGAAGCCAATACCATTTGATAAACTGGCTAGACAGGGAAGAAAATACTTAAAAATGGTATTTTCAGAGATAGTGCTGGTGCTGGGGTAGAGCACCAATCCAGATCTTTGTCTGATAAATCACAGTGCTTTTTATTATTTTTTCCCCCCAAGTAAAACCTGGGTATAAGATAATTGCAAATAAAGAAAACGCTGAACTCATGCTGTTAAAGTATCAGCATCTAGTATAAATCGGAAGAGAAAGTCTAAATGTGCGAATGAAGAGAAAAAAATAATAGAGAAGCAAGCAGATGACAGGAAAGAATGAAAAGGAAAATTAAACTAAAACAAGACTGATTTGAGGAAGTCCTTACAATGAAAGGAAGAAATAAAGTAATTTCATCATCACAGATATGACTCAGTGCACACTGAAAAAGTAACAATGACTGAAAAAAGAAGGGAAATTGGGTGCCAGAATCACAGAAAATGACAGCAATGTTCAGGCGCGCTTCTGCAGTTCATCAATCAAACACTGCTTTTGTCCAGATCTTCTCTTCCCCTGCCAGGTAACAGCTAAAGAAGAGACGGTCACATCAACCACCGCAATGAGACTGAACTGCTGAGGCTGAGGAAGGAAAAGACTGCAGCGACAATACATCTCTTTGTACAGGCTGGCTTTTGAAAAGCTTGCTAATTCCCCTAAAACCACCCGGCACCATCAGTAGGTAATCTGTTCAGGGTATTCCTATTCCTTTTCCTTCCGTTTGGATTAACGGAATTGCCTTTGACAGCACAAATCAGATCTGACAAACGGGAAGTGTTTTACCTTATAACCGCGAACATGGAATTGAAGTTCTTGCATTCTCGACAGTGGAGGGCAATTTTAATGAAATGCTTAATAATCTTCATTCTTTTGAGTTGGTTGGGCTCTGCTAAAATTTCCATGGCAACCCAGAACGTCTCTTGATTTATGACATCCTCAAACTGCTTCAGGTGAGCATTTCCTGTTTTGGAGTCCAGCTTATAAAGGTCATCGATGTATTCTGTAGGCTCAATATTGCGAAATAATTCAAAGTCCCTCATGGAAAGCTGAGTGGCGACCTCAATGGTGCTCAGCTGTAGGAGGGAAATCTGGCTTTCTCTCAGTAGCTCTTGAGCATCCTCATCTGAGCACAATGTCTCTGTCTCCATATTGTTTTTTAGATAATACCTGAAGAATAATTGAGTTACAATAAAACATTAGAGATGCTCTTCAGAGGGTTTGTGAACACAAAGACATTGAACTATACCAATCAACGTGGATGTTATTGACGCCGCAGGGGCGTTTACGTGAGAGTATTTCTGGGGTAGTGTTGACAACCCAGTGTCAAAGAGGCAAAGACAGAGGCAGGAAGGGACAGCATAACCTTGTACTTCAGCTAGTATAAAATATCATCAGTATGGAAGTAAAAAAAAAGTTTCAAAAGCTGTTTTAATCTACCGCTTTGCTAATACCTTCTATACTGTACTCAGTAATATGCTGTAGCTTTTACCTTCAGAAAAAGGTCGGTTACTTTTCCAGTTGTAAATTCAGCAGTGAAATAACATTTTAAATACGCATTAGTCCTGAGAAATCTCATTAATGTATTTCTCCATTTCTTACACAAATTGAGTGTGGTTTCTTACATAAATTTAGTGTGGCATATTAATATTTACATGAAGCACATAGTATTCAGGAAACGAAAATGTATCTGAAAAATTCATTTCCACAGTCCCAAGCAGATCACTTTCAGATATACAAAAGTTTACTCCTCATAAATTCCCTCTGTTGCCTAGCAAAGACGACTAAAGAATTTTTTTTACTTAATAAACTTTCTTGTAGTATGGATCAGGTCAGCACTTAACATTTCAGAAACATTCATAGCAGCTTACATAAAAATGGAGGCATTTATCTCAGGTTAGTATCAGTTCATTGCAACATGACATCACTGAGAAAGGAATTAATTGTACGCTTTAATCCTGAAGTACACGTGGAAAGCGTCAGAAGAAACGTAACTTTTTCCTTTTTAAGTGTAAGCCCCTATATACGTTATCCTGATCTTCGACATCTAGCTGTCATCAAGCAAGCTTGCTGCAGCTTTGGAGAAGGGTTTTTTGGGTGCAGAAGAGGAAGGTGGAACGAGGAAGAAAAGAGGAGAGGGAAGTGTACGTTACTGACATTTACTTGCTTATTCTTCTAATAGACACCTGTCTATTTTAATAAAACATCCCTCCCCAACGCTTCTTTCAGATGTTTCAATCCTAAAAGGCAAATAAATCCAAAATCACAACAAGGGTCCATTTACCGTCCGTTGAGTTGAATCCTGTCGGCCAATTTTGAGAACTGATCTGGGAGTCTCCGTTGCTTGATGACTCCCTCGGGGCTGACCGACACTTCGCAGAGGGAGTAGGTCTCCGGAGCTCCCGTCAAGTTGAATTCGTGGACGGCGTGACTCACAACCTCTTTTGCTGTAGTGTCTTTGCTGATGATAATGTAACAACTCTGCTGATCTGCTTTGAAAACTCTAATTACTTGATCCGGAATATCTAAAATAACAGAGTGACACCTTTAATGTATGAAGTTACTTGTCCCTTGAAAAGACACAAGGTCATTTACTGTCTCATTTGATAGCCAGAAAACAAAGAGCAGCTAGCAAGAAAAAAAGCCATGCTGGACTTGATTAATATTCATTACAATATTCAGTCATTTCCCTCAACTTTGATAGGAAAAAGAGGACTCTTCTCCTCTCTGCATTTCTACAACTCAATCAATTGATCATCCCATGATGACAATCAAAGTACAAGACACCAAGATATTTACTAAGCTGTGCACTGTCCTTCTCAGCGTGTCTCAAACTTTGGCAGCGTCGCTTTTTCTCTGGCCCTTTTGTCTTTGCGAGAGCCGGAACAAACACGAGTGCCATGGTACCCTTCCTGGGGAAGGGAAGCCATCGAGCACGCGTGGGAGGGCTGCGGGCAGGAGGACACAAAGCAGAAAGGAGATTTGCTTGCTCCCAGAACTAGCTGCAAACTTTTACTCTCACCCTGAAGGAACTAAGCTGCTGCCAGCAGTTAATTCTTTGGTGAGTCTGCTTATTTATAGCACATTTTGTGTATTATAAATGCATTAGAGAACAGCTTTATCTGAGGCAGCCTACAGCAGGAAATAAATATCTAAAGAAACACACGTTTAGTCTACAGCTTGATGATTGGAAGTAATTCGCTCCATTAGCTATTACAGAAGGCTTGATTTTCAAAATAAAACTGATTGGAAACAAATGTCAAGAGTCAGAGTGCACACTAATGTAACACTCAGGGAAGCACAGTTTTTCCCCTTCCTAAACTCTGAAGACTAAAACTTCAAAAGTTTTCTGCAGACCGGAGAACGCGGGAGGCTCTTGCTGAGCCCTCAGCCACATCTTCAGTGCCTGCAGCTCTTCCAAAACCACGTCGGAGGCAGATGTGTCATTAACTCCTGCAGCAGAGATTCCCAGCGGGAGAAGAGAAGGGCTGTTATCACAGCAAAGGCCTCCAAAACAGCCCTTCGCTTCTCTTGCTGTTACCTGACTAGCCTTTTAACAGCAGCAAGAAGTGCCAAATCCATGGACTGAGGTATGTGACCTGCCACCCGAGGGGAGCACCCGCACTGCGCTTCTGCCAGGCGAATCTTCCTGCTGCGCATTGAGCTTTACATGCTGTTTACCCCATCGCTATACATTAATTTTCCCTGTCAAAATCCAATGCATAAGGAAAAAACGAAGATCTCTAATGGGGCAGTGACCTTGGGGTTACCTTTTCTTGCATCAGGAGTTAATGGTGTTATGGGGCCAAGAAGCAGGAATTTCTGAGCAAAAAGCAAGTAATTTATGATCCTGCATCAAAAGTTGGCCCCATTGGAGGGAAAAAAAAAAAAAAAAAAAAAAAAGAAGCCTCAACAGCAGCTTTAAATAAATTGGAAAATGGGAGGAAACAAGGTGTTAGGAAAAAAAAAAAAATCTAACTGAAAACTAGCCCTACTGTTTGATTATTATGACTACCACATTACCAGAATAGTCACATCGATGGTTGGGGAGCAGTTGAATTTGAAAAGCTCTGAGAGTACATGAATGGGGGCAATAAAAGGGAACAATAAATATTACGTACTCATCTCAGAGTGAAAGTGGTGAGAATGCCATATTGAATTATTTGGGAAATGCCTGCACTCATAAAAATCATAATTAATCAACAGAAGAGTCAAACATCCATATCTTGCTATTAACATAACTAAAAATCAGAACACAGTCAAGGCATAAAATCAAAACTGAAATGTAATTTGGGGGGGAACAGACCATGCAACCAAACCAGTGTAACCTCTAAGTGACAGGCAATGGGAAACTTGTATTACAAGCACGTGTCTATCTTCGCAGTCTTTGCTTTTAAGCAGGTAAACATTTTAATAAAAGTTCTTTTCCTATGCATGCTTCAGCTTGCGGCTACAACACAGAACACATTTCAAGTCTGCATGCAGAAAATTTTAGCTATACAGAATTCAACAAAAGAACAACCAAAATCTCAAACTATGTTATAATCTCAAACTCGGGTTTATATGAAAGGGATGTAAGCAACCTGATTCCTTTAAAGCAAGGTCACGGAGAAAGGAAGTAACCTGCCAAAGGGCATTCAGTGTGTCGGTGGCAGAAATGGCAGTAAAATGCAGGTCGGGCTCAGCACAGCACTGTGCTCGTAACGAGAACCTATGGATTTGGTTTATTACAGGGAAGGCTGCGGGGCACGTGACCATCTAATGCCCTCACAGTAGTAACTATGTCAATGCAACGGACAAAAGTGTTAAGTTTAACAGGCAAGCCATGCAATATTAAGGTCTTCAGGATGCTACACATCAGGATACTTACAGTAAAACCCAACAGCTGCGGGCAGGAAAAAAAGAAAAAAAACTGTGTCAACACCAAATCCAGATTTAGGTATTTACAAAACTTATCAAGAGTATGTAGTACACTGTCAGAAATATTTTGGTTTTCTCTGCCATTCAAAAATGATGGCATATTTGTTATAGTAAACTTAAAATAAAGGTAAGAAGGACTAGTTATCCACATTTTATATTATGCAGTTACTTGTATAATACTAAACGAAGACTCTTCGAGAGCATGTGTGTAGCTCTCACGCAGACAGCAAGAATCTGGATTTGCAGTAAAAAGGGAACTTACTTGCTACAGATACATATGCCTGATATGTCTATTTACATTACCTTTAAAGGGGAAATCTGCGCGTTTACATAAATGTAAGTCATAGCCACAAGGCATTTTATAGAATATGTAATTATGCACAGAACTTACACTTGAAATAAGGAAACATGATTCTGACTTGATGTTTACGGGCAGCTGCATATAACAACAAATACCTCCCTGCAGCCATCCCATAAACTGCATTCCTAAAAGTAGAGACTACACACCTCAAAACATTTTCAGTTTTTCAGACATACAACTGAATACACAAAGTTTGTAAAACATTAATGTCACTGCGTTGGTACCATAGCAGTCCTGTGCTATTCACAATACTGCTCGAAATATATATTCAAAGATTGTGGAGGGACAAGTCAAATCACCAGGAATGCTGGTATTGGGAAGGGATGGCAGAAGAGGAAGGTGCAGACAGGGACAATCCGCTTCCACCACAGCTCTGGTAACCTCCAGCAAGTCAGATACACTCAGAGGTGGCAAAATGCATTGCTTTGTAAAAAGAAGCTAAGTTTCACATTACCAAAAAAGCAGGCAAGAGAGGTTCAGGCAGTCTGGGTTGTCAGCAAATCTCCAGTTTGCCCTGTTAGGGCCACAAGATAAACGGGTAACTGCACTCGGCATGTTTGATGCTGCTAAGAGATCTCACTCTCCTCCTGAACCAGCTGCCTTGTAACCAACCTGCAAATCAAGCTAATGCCGCTGTTTTACCTGAAGGATTAGAGAAATCCAGAATGCTAGTTGTAGGCTGCAAGAGGTCAGGGCTACTGGATGAGAGCGTTCCCGGAATAGGCATGATGGCCAGGCTGTGCCTGCACTGCCGCGTCCCCACAATGCTGTCGTCCTGCGACTGGCTCACGCTGCCGTCACTGCAAAACACGTTTGTTTCAATTATGTGCATTAAACTCCTTATGATCATCTTGGGATGAATCAAACTAGGAAAAATAATGGCACTCAGATGTTTTAATTACACATTGTAGACAGGTTTTCAAAACAAGGGCAGAGGAAAAGCATGTTTGAAAGTGTTCACTAGGAGAGAAAAGATATTTTGGTCTTATTCTGTTTTTATGGGTCAGGTTTGCTTTTTTCTTTTTTCTCTTTTTTTTTTTTTTTTTAAACATAAGCAACATGGACATAATGACTGAAGATACTAAGTAAAATATAACAATTTAATAAGGAACAATTACTGTTTGACCAGAAGAGTCTGACAAACCTGAACAGTTTTGGAGGCAAGATGCTGAATCGGGTCTTGTCTAAGATTTTCCTGATTCTGTTTCTCCCACCAGATACAGTGTTTGCTTTCATTTTCTTGTTTCCTTTTTCATGGGGAAACATCTGTTCCACATCTCCAGGCATATCTGGGATGGAATAACGGTTGTTTTTCTTTTCTGCAATTTTTGGAATATGTGGAATTCCATTCTTCTCTTGTCCTATCCTGCAGAGCAGCTCCTTAAACACTGTAAGAGAAGATACGATCATTGTGATTTACCTTTCCACACTTAAAACTTCACAGCGATTTCTTCTTTCCTCTCAAACCTTTTGCTTCCCACATCCCTGCAGAAAAACTGAACCAAAGAGTTACAAACCAGGCGATATATTGCATTTTAATTTTTTATTCTAAGGGTGTGGGTCTTTTCCCATTTAAGTTTTGCTTTAGGGTACCTTGGTAGAAAGAGTAACCCCGAAATGTTCAATAAAAGCCATCAAACATTCTGCATAGCAGCGTTCTCCTAACTACTTTTGAAATTAGCACATAGCACAGCAAATTTAATAGACCTAGTCTATCGTTACTGGACAGATAATAAGGAAACATTGCTTTCATGACAATCAGCTCTATGTATTTATTGACTTTTTTGTCTGCATGTTTTAGGTAATGGAGTGCAGATGCCTCCTCAAGAACAACTGCAAGACAGACTGATATTTTCCAAAACTGCCTTTGTTTTTTAGTAATACTACTGAACAGAAGCTGCATCAAATTTCCTATTCCATTTGTCAAACTAAGCCAGTCTATTACCAATACTGACATTCCCAAAGGTATAATTCCATGGAAAAAATAGTGTTTATGTTCTTTGGGTTTCTTCCCACATATAAAAGGTGAAAACAAATTGTTCAAATTGATTTATCAATACAAATTATTTTTTTAAAAATCTTTTGAAATCACTCGAGTCAGAAATTCAGTACTTGCTGTCGACAACATGGTGATACCGGGAAAACGCAGAACTGTGCAGAGCAAATTACTCAGATTGTCCCTATGAACAAGGCAACCATGACTTTGTGTATGGAAAGTCCCAGTCAAATTGCGTCTTTCTATTATGTAATAAAATGTAAGGCTACAAGCCTTCACAGTATAGATTCAAATATAAGAACAAGACTTGCTCATTGTCAGCACCAGGCACTTAGCACTCAATTAAAAAAGACAGGATAATAAGTATCACTGCTGAAAAAAGCTTCAAGACATGAATTCATTAAAATTTATCAGAGAAATCACCTTGAAACTATATCAGCTAGCGGGAAGAGAAGAGATTAGAATCCACTTGTAAACGTATGTTGCTTACATTTATAATGCAAATGAACAATCCATCATTGCCTCAGTTACAATTATGCTTTATTTTATGTCATTCACATTAGTCTGGACCACTGGTTACCGTGGTTCTTTTATGCTTTTTTTTTTTTAATTATGCTAATAAGCAACTGCTAGGATCTTGAAACTTTTTACCTGCACAATGATAAACAGAAAATAATAATTGAAAAGAAAATCAGTTGTGAACAAGGGCAGCTAACTGGAGGAAGAAAGTAAGGAAACCATCAGATGGTCTCAGATACAACTACCGAGAAGGAGCTGCCTTGTGCGCAGCCTCGTTCTTTCTGTAGCTATGGTTATTCTGCTGCCTGAACAGGATTATGGAAAAAGAACAGATGGTTTGACTGAGATTTTAAAAGAGGTATTTATGTGTTTATTTTCACATTGACAATTAAAAGCCAACATTTATATGTCATACTGCTTTTTATATCCCCTTTTCAATTTTAGATATAAAGGCAATTTATCCTGTCATTCTTACAGCCATTATAAAAAGTTTTACCAAAGCCCGGTTTTACATTTTTCCTGTTTCTTGGCAAAAATATTTTGGCCCAGATCCCTTGGCTCTGTTTCAGCCATATAGCATGAAGGGACACTAAAGCTGCTTAAACAGTCATCTGAGGCTTTCTCAGGGAGTAAAGAGCTGGCTACGCTGGCTTTGTGCCACCCAACGTGCGGCCCTTGGCACACAAGAACTTATCTGAGCAAATGGAGGCACAACGAGGGGACTTCTGCACAACTTTTCACTCCTAGAGCAAGCTGGGTAAAAAAGGTGGAATCCTATTGCACTTCTAAAGCCAGGAAGACTGGAGTTATTCTTCACATACACAAAAATACACTATATATGAAGTCTACTCACCAAAAATGTTTGTTTTTACAGTAATGGAGAGATGAGTGTTGTTCCTTAAGATTTCCAGAGCTTTTACAAAGGTAATGTTCTCAAAATTCTGTCCATTTACTTCCATTATCTTTGAGAAATAAAAATTGGACTATTAGGATAATAACTGTTTATGACAGACAAATACAAAGGTGATAGTATAGGCACAGTAAGAACTTTCCAGAAGTTATCACATCATCTTTACAGCAGTTGTAGAATGAAAACATTCCTTGTAATATAACTATTTCCATCATGTCAGTGAAGTTCTAGCCTGTACACAAGGCAGGACCTCCATTTCTCCCTGACAAATGCTTTAATCAAATTTATTTTCTGTGATACCATGACATTCCTCCCATTAGGAACTCCACCCGAATCAAAACTGGTGGATCAGGAACCGTAGAACTGATATTACTTTGATATTACATCAAAGGCCAGATCTTCACCTGGTATGAACTGTCACTGCTCCACCAGCCTCGATAACGGGGATGAGTTACACCAGGTAGGAATCAATCCAACAAAACAATCTGATAGCTTCAACCTAACCATAATTATGGTCAGAAAGTTTCCTGAAACAACCACCATATGGCTTCTTTTCCCATTCTGCTTTTGAAGCATTTAAGTATTTTAAATATTTTGAGAACTATTTAATAGAATAGTAAACTGAAGCTGAACCGTGGCATTCACAATAGAAAACTAGCCAGTTGTTTGCTTTTAGTAAATAGCATATACTTTTTGTTGGAAACACTACAGTTGGTTGAACCAGAATTTTTTTTAATAAAATAAGAGATGGATATTTTATATGAACTTTATTCTTTTTACCTGATCACCACGCTTGAGTCCAGCTTCTGCTGCTTTACTGCCCATTTCCACAGTCTCTACAAAAATACCAAACCCCTTGTCGCTTCCTCCAAGGAGGCTGAAAAACAGTGGCGAATCTCTAGAAGGTTTTTGCAGGGTAATTTGTCTCCATTTTGCTTTGGCAGCACAGGCAATATTCAGCAATCTGAGATGTCCTTTCATTTTCTGTAACAGCAAAGACACAAGATGGAGCGCAACGTTTCTTTTACTAGAAAAACAGCAGTAAAAAAAAAAAACCCTGAGTGCCAGAAAAAGGACTTATGATGCCATGTATCCAAATCTCAGTAAAAAAACCTTGTTGTCTTTTGCAGTAATGCAAAAACACATACATGAATGCCATATGTACTATTTTATATCGGCTTTATCTCTAAATGTATATTTAAGAACAAATATGTCCATGTTAAAAGCCATCTATTGACTGTTAGACTTACAGACTACAACATGTTAATCACTGGTAACACACTGGAAAATGAAAACCTGTAATATTAGGAAGTACGACAGTCACTCTTTTTTGCTCCTACCGTATCTTCCAAATTCTTTTCAAATTCTTCCAGAAATCGAGTCATAGCAGGATCTCCTTCAAAGTCATTAAAATGATTGTTCACCCACAGTAAGACCACTCTGGTAACCTGTAAAAAACAAGAAAAACATATATATAAAGGAACTTATGATTCTTCTCCTGTAGGCTTTAATCTATAAGCAAAGAAGAATACAAGGACATGGCAGAATAAGACATGACAGATTACTGACACTGTTAACAAACAGAAGCAGAAGACATTTACACTTGAAATTATCTTCTCTTTTCCTTTATTTGTGGAAACAAATGAAAAATAATAAACCAAACGTTTTTGTACCTAATTGGCCACATCACCTGGTACTTACTGGTGCACAGATCCATCTTCAGTTAACTCTTACTTATGCTGTTTATAAAATGTATCTTTTTAAAGCATCCTAACGATCTCCTTAAAGGAAGTTCTAGGAAGTACATTGTCATAACCAAGCTGTGTGGTGCAGTCGATGCGCTGGAGGGAAGGGATGCCATCCAGAGGGACCTTGACAGGCTGGAGAGGTGGGACCGTGTGAACCTCATGGAGTTCAACAAGGCCAAGCGCAAGGTCCTGCACGTGTGTCGGGACAATCCCAAGCACAACTACAGGCTGGGCACAGAATGGATTGAGAGCAGCGCTGAGGAGAACTTGGGCGTCTTGGTGGACAAGGAGCTCAACATGAGCCAGAATTGTGCACTGGTAGCCCAGAAAGCCAACCGTGTCCTGGGCTGCATCACCAGCAGTGCGACCAACAGGTCAAGGGAGGGGATTCTCCCTCTCTGCTCTGCTCTCATGAGACCCCCCCCTGGCAGTACCGTGTCCAGCTCTGGCGTCCC